AGGGGAGCTACAGGTAATTGTTTATCCCAGATGGAGGCGGAAGGCTAAGTGGCCGGAGTGGACTTTGCTTTTTCTGGTTGCGGGATCGACTGAGGTATCGGGTTGGCGTATTAAGTGGTGCGAGTCGGTCTGCGGCTGATCGCTCACACCACGTACTTAAACACAAAAATAAACACAAACTACATTTTTATTTTATTTTAATTTCTATGCAGTGGATTATATTAGGTTTCTTCATGACTCACATCAGGAGGGAATTAATTGCATTTGTTCTGTATATATATATATATATATATATATATATATAATATATATATATATAATATATATATATTTGTTTTTTGTTTTTAAAACGATGAGGTAATATAAAATATTTTATTCACAATAAAAAAGGGATCAGATATCAAGACAAAATTTTTCCTTAGAGGAACAAGAGCTTACGACACATGGAAATGCGAATAAAGCCAGCTCTGTCAGCACCATTTGGACCAGAGAGAAAAATCATGCCTGCTGCTGGTCCGGAAATAAATCTCTAGGCTATCTAACAACACAACAAATAGAGGTAAACAGAAATGTCATTACTGGGCCTTCTTTGTCCTTCGGTTCGAGGGAAGTGAATCGCGGATGAAGGAATGGTGGGTTTTGTGGTTTGCTTTCTTCCTTAAGTCTGCGATTCATTTCTTGTTCGTCTGTTCACTTTGTTTCCTTCATAACCGTTTGAAAAAATGTCTTTGGTATCTCGTTTCCTTGGGGCGGCGCAGCGCCCAGCCGGGATTCACACAATATAGTTCCTTTCGGAGGGCGTGAGGTGGAGGTCGTATGCCGCCCACCACTCCTCCTCCAGGCGTTGCTCCAGGGCGGTGCAGAGGCTCTCCAGGGCGAAGACTATCTTGCTCTGGCGGAAAGTGTCCCTCACGGACCTCAGGAGACTCGAAACCTGGTTGTCGAGGCCGAGGAAGTCCACCATGCTTTCGACCGAGAGGCGGGTGATGTCGGCGGTCTCTCTGCTGACGGTCTGCGCGCGGTGCTGCAGGCCGGACAACTTGGCGTCGAGGGCGTCCGCTCTTCGCTCCTGGTCCGCGGGTTCCTCCTCTCTCTCGACGTCGTGCTGATGGGCCTCGGCACAGGGCTTCCGAGGCTGACCTGCGGCTGGGGTTTCGCAGGAACTAGAACTCGGTGTGTGTTTTTTCTCGCGTTCTTTGCCTTCGTCGGCGTTGGACCCTGAGACTCGGCTTTCTTCACTAGTTGGTTTTGCAGAATTTTCTTCGCCGATTGGTTCTGCAGACTGATCTTCCTCGAGGCTTATCGACTCTGCGAAAGAACTGTCGCATTCGGTTTCCTCTTCGCTGGACCGTTCGAGATGATCTTCGTCGGGGTAAGATCTCTGAGGTTCAGCAGGAGAATTTGCACTGATTTCTTCGGGACAAGATCCTACGGGATGGGCTTCCTCGACGAGGGACCATCCAAATTCACTTTCTATCACGTAGGATTTGTGAGAGGGATCGTCACTTGTTTTGGCTCCGTCACTTTCTTCCAGCCGGGTCACCGCAGCCGGAGAACTCTTTTCTGGATTTTCCTGAGCACCGGTGTCACCAAGCCCATTTTCCTCCGGCAGGGATTGCACTGAACAGTTTTCCTCCGGCAAGGATTGCACTGAACAGTTTTCCTCCGGCAGGGATTGCACTGAACAATTTTCCTCCGGCAAGGATTGCACTGAACGGTTTTCCTCACGTAAGGATTGCACTGAACAGTTTTCCTCACGTAAGGATTGCACTGAACAATTTTCTTCCGGCAGGGATTGCACTGAACAGTTTTCCTCCGGCAAGGATTGCACTGAACAATTTTCTTCCGGCAAGGATTGCACTGAACGGTTTTCCTCCGGCAAGGATTGCACTGAACAATTTTCCTCCGGCAAGGATTGCACTGAACAGTTTTCCTCCGGCAAGGATTGCACTGAACGGTTTTCCTCCACAGCAGTACTTTCGCCCTCACTTCCACCGCACGTCCTTCCGCGCTGAATTTCTTCCACGTGTAAACTCTCTACCGAACCGCCCTTGCAACGTGGCGACGGGGAGTCACGTGCACACAACTCGCTGCAACTCACTTTCGCGATTTCGCACGTCACTTCGCACTCGTCCGAAGTCCGAGCGGCGGGAAGGCGCCTCCTTGTCGCACTCGACGAGGCTCTCGCAGCTGGGGAAGAGGCACTCCTGCAGCAGGCCGTCCTCCACGCTCTCCGTCAGCTCCTCCCGCGGCTGGCTCATCAGGCCCTCCAGCTGATCCAGGAGGAGGAGCTGAGGCCTCGCGCGCTGCGCCTCGCCGTCGTCGAAGGGCAGGAACACCCCGCTGTCCATGGAGGGGAAGCTGCAGTGGAGTTCCTCGACGCAGCTCCCGCTGGACGCCCGCGAGCGCGCAGGGTCGTCGCCCCCCGACGCGGGCTCGGGACCTCGCACCCCGTCGGCGTCGAAGGAGCAGTCGTAGGCGCAGCCCTCCTGCATCCGCTGCTCGTACTCGACCAAGGACACGAAGCTCGACGTGAACATGCTCGACTTATCGGCGCTCAGCAGCTTCAGGAGGTACTTCTGCCTCTTGATCTCCGCCCGGAGTCTCCGGAGCTCGACGTCGTAGCGGTTCGCCCAGACGAGGTGGAGGGCGCACCGCTCGGCCTCCGCGTCCTTGTCCGAGGCCTCACTGCAAGGGGGGGGGGGGGCGGATTAATGATAATGATAATAATAATAATAATAATCTTCATTTCAGCTATAAGCCGTACATCAAGGGCGGGCTTTTAATGATGATGATTATAATAATAATAATAATCTATTCAACTATAAGAAGCCATACATTAAGGACGGGCTTTATTAATAATAATAATAATAGTAATAATGATAATAATAATAATAATAATAATAATAATAATAATAATAATAATAATAATAATAATAATAATAATGATAATAATAATAATAACAATAATAATGATAACGATAATCTTTATTTCAACTATAATAAGCCATACATTAAGGACGGGCCTTTAATAATGATAATGAAAATGATGATAATAATAATAATAATAATAATAATAATAATAATTATTATTATTATTATTATCATTATCATCATTATTTCAATAGATGTACATAACGAATGCGTAGATAGAGAGACGAAGAATGAAACAGATAAAGAGGATATAGAGACAAAACAAAGCAAATTAGTAGATGTAGACAGGTAGAACAAAAAGTAGATGAAAAGATAAAATAAAACAAGTAGATGGAGAGTGGAAGAAACCTAAACAGATCCGTAAATATTTAGAAACATTTTTTGATTATGGTAATATAACGACGAACAAAAACAAATAACTTGATATGATACAACTATACAGATACGTAAATAAAAAAAAAAAAACTAAAATAAACACAATTCATATATCTTCTTTAATATTTGCAGTGAAACACATGAAAATAACGTAGAAATGACTATTACGTATTTCAAATATTTCCACTAAATGATATACAATAAATATCAACCTTCATGTCTCAATTTTTAAATCTTAGTTCAGAAATTCTAACTTCTTCTCAGGAGCGAAAGAAAAGGCACACTACCACCGATTCCTACATCCTTATAATGCGAGTTTTGGTCTAAAAAGTTTTGTTCTTCCCGTTTTCTATAGAACGTGTTTTCGTTTCCCGTTTTCTGTAAGACTTGCGTGTTTTGCTTTTCCCGTTTTCTGTAAGACTCTTGCTTGTTTTGCTTTTCCCGTTTTCTGTAAGACTCTTGCTTGTTTTGCTTTTCCCGTTTTCTTTACACGTGATTTGGTCCTCCCGTTTTCTTTAAAACACGTGATTTGGTCCTCCCGTTTTCCATAAAATGCGTGTTAGTTTTCACGATTATTAAAAATGCGTTTCTTTTCGTTTTCTTCAATTCATTAAGTCCTCAACATGATCGTTCTCTTATCTTCTTCATTTCACAACCGTACACCTCAGAGTATATCGCTTGTGGCACATTTGGGATATCATTTTCACGAAAAAGCGAAGTATTGGTTTCCTTGCACAATACGCTCCTCTACACCATTATAAAAGACAGGATACACTAGAAAGCAGTTTATCGACTTTTTTTCGGAGCATACTGAGGCTCACCTCCCCATGAGAGGCCATCGGAAGTATATTAAACGGCTGAAGTTTCGAAAACGTTTGCAAGGAGGAAAATAAATGGAGGGGGAGGTTTATGGTACGAGAATAGATGAATATGAGAAACGAGAGTGTGTGACAGCACCGATCAGGCCGAGAGTGCGGTCAGGAGACGACGAGGAAGCAGGGGTCAGTCATGTCACGGGGTTTTACGTTTTCCTTTCGTAATGTTATTGTTGTCGTCATGAACAATAGTTTAGTATCGGCAAGGTAGGCCTACATGTCACTTTCACTATCACTGTAACGTCATGTTTCTTCATCATCTTCATCATCGTTCGTATCATACAAATTTACCATCACTTTCACTAACACCATCTCATAATTTCACGCGTCACCATCACTTTCACTATGGTCATCACTGTCGCAATCACAACTCTCACTGTAAAATCGCCTTTTTCATCCTATTAAGGTCACTATAACGATTAACAGTCGGCCACCTGTCGAACGTAAAATATCATACACACACACATAACATAATGTATGTATGTATTTATGAATATATGTACGTATCTTACCTACATCGGCACTGAATACGTACAAAACCAATGCCACATCTGCTTTCAACCTGCGATGCGTCTTTACATAACCGGGCCCGAACAGCCACGAAGACCCACATAAAACACAAGACAGGCATCGCCCCTCCTTACCTATCTCCAGCTGCTGCCGCCCGCACGCCCTTGCCATCCTGGTTCGCCACCTGAGCTAGAGCCTCTGCGAGCTGGTTCTGTGTCGGGCTCATCCTCGCCTACGAGACAGACACCATCCTTCCTTGGCACCGAGTTCATGGCAACTCCCGTTCGGACAGACGCTTCGCCATGT